ATATATATATATATATATATATATATATATATATATATATATCACATCACTAAAACAACTCAATTTATTATAATATTCTATCCCCTTTCATAAATTCGATTATAGAAAAAAAATTATGACATCATATAATGATCTTAAATAATTTTGATTTGATTTGAAGAATAATTCTTCATATTCTTGATTGATAGTCTTTTATATTTATAAAATGAATATATCATACATACTGTCAAGATTTTTAATATTCAACCAATAATTTTTTCTCTTTTTTCTGTATTTATTTATTTCTTCCTCTTCGATATATCGTGTGATAACTTATTATATGTGTAAAATATTTATAGACTAATCAATTTTATTCAAATACAATGCAAACTAGATTGTTCATGCATCAAGAGGACAAGAATGATTTGGGTTGAAGTGAAATCAGTGGATTCCTTAAATTAATTAGTACTGTGTTTCTTATAAATTTGAAGGCGATTTGGCAATGGTAGACATTTGATTAAAAAAGGAATATTTTGTGATGACACCTATTTTTTTTCCTTATTTTATTTTTATTAGGTTAATTTACCTAAAACAGCCTATGTTAATTGGTTTTTATGGGATGACACCTTTCTATTTAGAAATTATCAGAGAATTTTTTTTCCTCCGTAAATGGATAAATATCGATCGATTGATTTCGTCATCAAAATTGATTTAGAAAGCTTTGAGAAAATAATCGGAAATATAAAGTAAAATTAGAATCTAAAATTTTTTCCAATATAATAAGTGGAGGTTTTTTTTTTAAGGTTAATTTCCCTATTAAAAATAGATACACTCGTTTGGATGACTTATGTCCACAAACAATGTCATCATCACCGTCAAAACAATATCGGACGACTTATAATCAACCATCTACGCTCTCTTTCTCTGTCACCGCAAACCAACGGATGCGTACTTCCCGACGCATCCTCTGCTCCTCTTCCTCTAAATAGACTCCCGCCCCCAACAACTCCTGGACGCCGTCCTGCCTCCCATCCACTTTGCGATTCCTCGGTCACGGTGAAAAGGGGAAGAGAGATCCACCGCTGCTTGTTGCGAAAGGGGAGGATGGCGGCCGAGCCCGGAGGAGGAAGTTGGCTCCGGAAGCTGAACGGCGGTAGGGGATGCCGCTGGCCGTGGAAGCTCCGCTTCGCCAACTGCTGGCGGTGGAAGCGCCCCAACCTCCGCTTCTCCTTCCTCGACGACCTCCTCTTCCGCATCCTCTACTGCCTCGAGGCCGTCCTCCTCGTGGGCGCCCTCTGCTGCTTCTACCTCTGCTGCGGCTGCCACCTCTAATCCTTCGCTTTGAGCATGACTACTGTCGTGTCTTCCTTCCCTTCAACACAAACTAAATCTTCTCTCTCTTTTTCCTCGTCTTTTTGTGTTCTTCGCCGAAGAGGGAGAGGGACGTGGGCAGCACAGCGGACGGAGCAGCGGCGCGATCGCAAACCGAAACCTCCGGCATAAGCCGAGCGGTGGAGACTTCTTACTGCGTCTTGTGTCCGTCCATGTGTTCGTTTGGTTTCTTGACTTCACGTTGCACTCTTTTACGACGGAGATGGTAATGAATCTTACCATGTGTTTGTAAGAACCGCTTGCTCCCCCCATAGCGTGCCTAATGTTGAAGAAGATGTTATCTTCCTCTTCTCTCGTCACGAGAAACACACCATTTAAGACGAAGCTAAAAGCACATCGTTGAACGATCGTATTGCATTGGACGTGACAGCAGCCAACGCAGGCACTTCTTTGAAAGCGTTTTGGTTCTGTGGGATTGCCTGCACGAATCGTAAACGGTATAAAAGGGCTTCAAGATTCGTGCGCCATTCATTTGATGATGTTTTCCTGGCCTATAAGTAAAGGCGGAGAGCCTTATCTCCAAGGGAATGGCGCATGGAGCAGCGGCGGGAGTCCTTCCGATGCCATTGTGCCCTGCAGCCAAACAAAGCGCCTCTGGTCAGCTCCATGGCCGCGCTGACCCCGTCCTCCATCTGCGGCAGGCATCACGCGCTGGCCGACGCCAACTAAAACGTTGGCCTTCGTTCACCACGAGAGCCTCGGCTTCGACAGTGAAGGAGTCCGTCCTCAGAGACTTCCGCCAGAGGAGAGCTCTGAAGGTCTGCTCTTGAAGCCTCTTCGGTGCCTCTGTTCTCTGTGCCGAGTGATTTGGTTGGTTCTCTTCTGCAGATCATCTCAGGACTCCAAAACTTCGACAAAGACAAGGTGGCCTCCGTGGTTATAGCTGCGGAGAAGGTGTGTGTACTGAACTATCTGGTCTCTCTTTGCCTCGAACCCATGTAAATTATATGTTCTGTTTCCTGCGTAAATGACAGGGGGGTGCTACGCATGTTGATATAGCCTGTGACCAGGAATTGGTGAAGCTTGCTTTGGGCTTGACCTCTCTTCCGGTAAATCTTTTGGAATTTATAAGCAACTCCTGCGGCTTAGTTTTTCTACTTTTCACCTGTTTAGGATCATTATCTTTGATTTATACTTCTTTGTTTAGATCTTGAAAGAGTTGGTGGTTGTTGGTAGTCTGATGCATGAGTATATATGTACATTGATGTGTGCCATATCTTAATTAAGGAAGAAAAATCAGCCCTCAACTCTCTGATCTTTAGTTGTAGGAGTGTATTGTTCTGTATTATATTTATGAACTGGGAAGAATGTTCTTCACTTGCATAGGGGCTCAGTCAATGCATTTGTGAGCACTCTGGACTTGATATTATTGAGCCAATTATAAATATTTCTCCTTCCTTCTTAATGAGCATTAAGTGGTCTATTTGTCATATAGGAAGCCTGAGACAAATATGGTAAGTGTACTTCGAGATTCTTGTGTCCATAAACAAGCTATAATGTTTCAAGTTGGCTGTTGAAATTGCTAGTTATATTTTAACATTGTTCTTGTCAATCCAGTTTTATTTGAAATTAAGTAAAAGTACAATACCGTCCTAAACAAGACATAGATGAGTTGATATTATGAACAGAGCAATTATAAGTAAATCCTCATAGTGAAAAATTAGACTGTCCGATTTCCCTATTGTTAAGTATCAAATTGCACTGAAATGTTCTCCAGGTGCTGGAATTTGGAAAGGTAAAACAAAAGGAGAATTTGCAAATAGGTTGAGGAAGATTAGATATGGAATATTTGCTTAATGGATGTAATATTAATGTACTCATTCTGCTATGTGAAATATATTTGATCAGCTACTTCAACTCTTCTTTCTAAGAAAATTATATTTTGGCAGATCTGTGTCTCCTCAGTAGATCCTCTAGCGTTTCCTCCTGCAGTGGAAGCAGGCGCCCAAATGGTTTGGATTATTAATTTAGAGACCAAGCTTTTGCAAAAAAATCTCATCTGTTTGTTTCTGATATAATTAGAAGTTTCTGGTGTACACAGGTCGAAATTGGTAATTATGATTCGTTTTATGAGATGGGTATTCAGTTCTCCTCTGAGCAGGTATGCAGAACCATCACCATCGAGCATTTGTTTCCATGTTTTCTTTCTAATCTCCTCAAGGTAGCATGTTCAATGAAACAATCATTAGGGTATTATTCTTTTATTTTTGTTTCGAACAGTTTGAACATGACTTAATATTCAACTATCATAAGTAATAAACTTCATCTATGCTTAACTTCTACGTGAAGGATTTCTTTTTGTGCAAATTATAATTTTATCTAGCAGAATTTTATAGGCACCGATATGCAGACTGCTTTATGCCATTCTGTTTTTTTTATAATGAGATCGATGCTTGAAGAGATGTATAATTCCAGGACATGAATGATTTGTATCGCATTTGCTCATTCCATATCAGATTATTAGTACCTCATTGCGGTCATACTATGTAAGAGAGTCAAATTTGCTAATCAGTCTCAACTTATTACTTAGAAGCTAATCAGTCTCAACTTATATTTAGAAGCCACACTGCTGAAATGGAGGATAATTGTCTATTGGAGTCAATTTGTAAGCTTTAAGCTCAAGTTTTATGGTTTAATAGTGACTAGTAGCTACTGATTTTACTGTAGTTTCCTATTTTCTTTCGACTTCTCTAGAGATTACATGGGTCCGTAAAAGATAAGTTTCTTACTTTCTCAATATTGCATTGAATCTGTTTTTATTTCCTTTATTATGCTTTCTGGTGAATTGTCAGATTCTAAAGCTAGCAAGGGATGCAAGAAGAATTCTTCCATCTGTTACACTATCTGTAACTGTGCCTCATATGCTAAATCTCCCTGATCAGGTAGCTCATGCTGTGCTATGCACTTAAGAAATCAGATTTTAACATAAGAGATATATTCTTCTTACATTTTTTTTGTTTTTGATTATATAACAGGTGAAGCTAGCTGAGTTACTGGAACAGGAAGGTGCTGATATAATTCAAACCGAAGGAGGGAAATACTCTAGTCCATCGAAACCTGGTGTCCTTGGTCTGATCGAGAAGGTATAACAGTATTCTCTCGGATATGCACTGCTTCTTGTTGATAGCTAGTCTTAGTGAAACCGGGTGACCAATGTTTGTCACCGCTAAAGTTTGAATTCTTATTCACATACTGTAGTAATTTTATTCTTCAGATTCGCTGATTTATTTTTTATCCAGGTGTATGATCTTGTCGATGTACGTCTTTTTAACTCATAAACAAAATTAGAAAGGATTTTTGCATATGAATGAATAAAACATTTATAGGTTGGATGAAGACTAGACTTATTCGATTCCATGACTTCTCCAGTATTGTATTAACACAATTTGATTATTATTTTACTGTTTGACATTAGGCAACACCAACACTAGCGGCTGCATATTCCATTTCTCGAGCTGTCAAAATTCCAGTTATGTGCTCATCTGGATTAAGTGCTGTTACAGCACCGATGGCCTTAACAGCAGGAGCAGCAGGAGTGGTATGCATATTATTTCTTTCTGTTTTTGTGATAGTTTTGAGTTTACTGTGCTTTTTCTTGCTTATTATTTCCTGATAGAGTGATTGAATTGCATACAACCCAATAGCTTTTTAAGTGTTTGATAAGCAAACAAACATCAAACATCTTATTGTTTGAATCAACTCAATTTGAGTTTTGGAATAGGAGATTTGCTTTGCCTGCTCTGCTAAAGCTTTTAGACACAGCATTCTTACCGAATAGGATATCATCATGGGGAAATTTGATGAGACTTGATCTTGTTTAGCAATGAATCATCTGAAATGTCATACATAATGGGAGACTGCTATTTTCTCTGAGTGCAGGGTGTGGGTTCAGCTGTGAACAAGCTCAATGATGTGGTTGCGATGATCGCAGAAGTCAAAAGTATTGCTGAATCACTAGGCCTACTCTCCAGATGTGCATCCGAGGAGCTGAGCTCGGCTCGGCAGTAGCGTTATGTCATTGATACGCAATATGAACATCAATAGTTGCATTCCATATGACCATCTCTCGGATCATTATGTAAGTTAGAATCGACAGGTAAACAGCTCTTCCTTTTCATCTCTGGAAAGACTCTTAGTGTTGATGTGGGAGTTGTGTTTTAGTGATCGACATTGATCTTTGTCATAGTTTGCAACCTTTTCCTAGCAAACAATGTAGAAGAAAATTACTGTTCGGTGAGTACCAGGAAACACAACATTGCTTCTATAGTTCTGCTGGCATGGCATGAGGAAGAAACAAAGGCTCAAACACTTGCACAATTATCACAACTCTGCTCCTGAAAACCAAACAGGATTGATTACAAGGGCGAGCATCGGAGATGCCGCTTGCCGTGAAATTAAGGGTCGAAAATGTTGGCCCTCGACCTACTTTCATGGCTAATGAACATCCATCATCTTCATTGCTACTTTCATCCTCTTTTTCATCATCAGTTTCAAGGTAAAGTTACAATCCATATGTAGTCTCTGCTTTCCAACACTAATGCTGGTTTTCTAACAACATAGCACATCATAACGAGTATCACTCGTTCACTGTTCACTATGAAGAACACCAAAAATGATCCACCACATTCCTATAGTTATAGTACACACCAATCGAGGGAGTTCCAACTAAAGAGTTTGGAGTAACACAACCTCGAAGGAATCAGCAGGGAACGTTTCTTCTCCCAAGCATTCTGTGCACGTATAAAACCACATACATGGCTCTTCTGTCGCTGATTGAAGTTGCCCAAAAGAATCACCACCAAGAACAAGAAATTTCATTCATGGAAGCTGCTTCAGTATGGCCAACTTCAGAAAGTTGATGTCTCAGGCATGCTTTCTCCATCTAGTCTTCCTCTTTTTCTTCTTTTCTTGAGCAAATATGAGAATTTAAACACCTCTCATATGAATCTGAATGATTAAGAACAAGCTGAACTTGACTAAATATGAATCTGAACGAAACCATATGTTCAGTACAGTTTCTTGGTTAGACCGAAAAAGACCTGGCACATTTCTTGTGATGACATGATTCATGAACCTGGAACATCTTTCCTTCTCCATCTGCCTTTCGATATAGGATTAGGTTTCAGGAAGGAAGAACCAAAGGTTTTCTAGTTGACAGTTCATCGAAACTAACGATCGGTGGAGAGCAAGCTATAAAAGACGGTCAATGGAGTCGCTTTCAGCTTCCGAAAGCATTGCAACATCAAAGAGCTCCAGGCCAAATTTGATCAAGAGATCCTCTACGTGCTTCTGCCAAAGCCTGTCAGTGCAAAGGATGGACGACCTACAAACGAGATGTAGCAATACGGAGGTGTTCTAAAGGCTCTGAGTAAGCGAAGACGACTAATTCCGACTGCAGTTGCGGCCATTCTGCTTGTAGCAGGACTTGGGAGCTTATGCAGCTTACAAGCTCAATCACTCATCAAGTATACTTGTGTCACTGATGCCTTTATCTCTGCAGTAGCTGCAGTTCCGAATGCTGTAAGAAGTTTTATCTTTTGACTTCATATTACAAGACAAATAAATTAAAGTGTAGAGTTGATCATGTGAATATTCAGCAACCTTCCATCAGTATGGATTATTTGACATTTTCTGCTTAAAATCTACAAATGAGGTTGTTTAGCTGATTTTTTTTTGTTTGCATTTATTATCAATATGGATCTGTGTTCTTGGGTAAGTCATTCTCCGTTTCCATTTGTATTGGTATGTATTATCATTATGTTATAGTCTTTATTATCGATACAAACTCCGTTATTCATCAGTAGTCTATTATGATCGACAATATTTGTGTGGAGATAGAGAGGCCGAGGAGGAAGAGGAAAGACCTAGCGCTTATCGTTAAGGTAGAGGCTCAAGGAATCGAGTTGGTTAGACAACCAAAAGAGGCCGAGCAATGTCTCGTTAAGAGCTGAGTTCGATGAGGTGATCCTTGTCTTGCCTTGTGAGGTGTTAGTCTTTATTGGGTCGTCGAGTCTATTTATATGACTTAGTCCTTATGTTTGTTTCTTATTGTATCATCGGGCTTGTCCACCCGACTAGTCTCTACCTCGATAGGTCAAAGTCTCATTTTGAATATAGAGGTCTGATCAAGTTGGTATAGTCTTTTCAAGTAATGAAACTTTCTTTCCTTAACTTACAACATATATATCCTAAAAATATATATATATTTTTACAACTGATGCTAAATACATAGTAGATTAAGGCTTGATGTTTAGAGCATAGTCATCCTAGCCTAACCTCAAGGGATGCCTAAGGAGTAGAATCACTTTAAGTTTATAATGTGTCATGTACTTGGAGGCACCACCCCTTTTATTGTCCCGAGGTGACAGGTTTAGTCTTGGATAACCTTAATGAATCGATATGACCCTTTTTAGTTTGACATTAGCTTATCTCAAGATCTAGTTGGGTCATTGACTTCAACTTTCTAAAGCATCAGTTCTTGTCTAGAGGCTACTTCAATCAATAGCTCTATCGGCTTAGGACATGGGACAAACTTGGCGAAGTCATAAGGTTCCATAGGTGGCTCCTTCGATCAAGCCTTCTTCGGTAGAGAGATCGCTGTTAGGTAGCACTAGCGTAACTCTTTTTGGTTGCTTCTCAGCTCTCCAATGCTGGACCTTATCAAGAATTTTATCGTCACGTGATAGGTCAATACTATCACCCTCAATCTATTCAATGTGGATTAGCCTATGATCAAGTTGTATGTCGATGGGATATTCACTACCATAAATTTAAACAATATTATTTTGGAACAAGCCTCGTCTTTGAATTGATAGGATCGAGTCGCCACTAAGAAGGGGGGGTGTGAATTAGTGCAGCGGATAAAAATGACGTCGGTTCGAAAAATCTTCGTTTCGATAAAATCGATATAAAAATGTAATTAACTTGAAAGTATTCATAAGAGTGTAATAAGAAAGTAAAGTAAGTAAGGTAATTTGTAGTGAAGGTAAATTGCATAAATAGAAATGCAAACCAAGTTTTATAGTGGTTCGGCCATCATGAACTACATCCACTCCCGATTCCTCTTCCGTCGAGGCCATTGGCATCCACTAACGATCTTCTTTCAACGGACGAAGATCAACTACCCTTTTACACCACTATTTACCTTTTCATAGGTTTAGGAGACAATCATTTACAAGCACTTACTCCTCTCTAAACATAATTCTAAACTTTAGAACTAGAGGAGGGGATCTCTCAAGTGATTGATACAATATTTTCCCACTTTTAAGTTCTCTGTATTTGTGTGTGTTAACCAGGGATGAGAGGGGTATTTATAGGCTCCAAATATATTCAAACTTGGAGCCAAAACTAGTCTCAACCTGGGTCTTCTAGGTATTGGTGGTACCACCGCCTACAACATTGACACTGGGATGTACCACCACCTAATCTGGCGATACCATCACTTGACACTCTACCACTGGGCGTTACCACCGACTGACACAGTCTCGAAGATTGTTCCATTGATGGTTCCACCTCTTAGGTCACTATTTGAGCCTTTCACTTGGTCCAACACAGCCCAAACTAGGGCCCAATTGGTCCCTAATTGAGTTAGCCCAATTCCAACTTAATTACACCTAAAACCTACTTCAATCTAGACAATTATTATAAAGCCAAATCAAATGTTGTCCGACATGTCATTGGTTCATCGATGCCTAGTTCAATTCTTCGGTGCATCGTCCTCTCTTGCGGCCTATTGTCCAATTGGCCAGTTGACTTCCGCAACTCCAATTTCCTCGACGTAATTTTTACTCTTCTTGGCCTGATACCCGAACTCATGGCCTGAAGCCTTTTGCCGATACGTCGACCGATTCTCCGGCTTGGCGTCCAATCTTCCGACATGTTCCACTCTGGCCCAACATGATTCTTCCTACTTTAATTATCTCTCCCTTATCGAAGCTTCTTACGTCACTCAAAACGTAGATCAGATCACAAATACATCAATTGATTTCATCATCAAAATCTAAGATTCAATACGAATATGACATGTAGATTCACTATCTCAAGAGGTGAGATAGAGTTGCTAGTGAACCCCATCAGTAAAGAAGTCATAGGAGTAAGGTCGTTAGTTAACTGTTTGAGTTTTTCAAAAGCATCAAGGTAGAGGATATTAGCAGAGCTTTCTAGTCAATCATGATACTCTTTACTCGAGCATTGCTCATCCATATAGAAACTATCAAGACATTATCATGATTTGGGTCAAAGTACTCCGTCTCTTTCTCCTTGAATGTTATCTCTAGGTCATCCTCTGTCCTTAGGTGCTTTTCAATGATATCTTAGGCATAAGCCTTACAACCTAAAAAGTTGTGTCCCCTTGATACAGTCATTCATCCTCGGGCACTTTTCAATGATAGTTTAGGTATAAGCCTTACTACTTGAGGAGTGATCTCTCTCGAGGCAAGTCTACCAATATTGATATAAATCTACCTCTCTATTGACCCCTGAGGTCGGGGCGATGGTTTTTAGTGCTTTCGGATGAACCACCTAATAAGGTGTTCCAGATGTATGAGTTCTTCAATTTACTTTTTTTAAGTATTGACAATCCTTCGTGTCATGGCAGTAATCCTAGTAGAACCAATAATATTTGGACTTGTCTCTTTTTGCTAATAGGGCATTCATTGGGTGAGGATCTTTCAAAAGTTCTTTCTTTTTTATCTATAAAAAAATTGAATGAGGTAACTTAGGTCATTCGTTTCTCCTTAAATGCGATGACCTTGTGGTCGAAGCTGATTATGGCCACTCCTACTTTGGCCTCTTGTGTGATTTCTCATGCTTGCTCCAGACTATTGCCTTGGTGATATTGTATTAATTGACCCTTTAAAATATCTATAATTCAATTACCTATGATCTCTCTATCAATGACTAAAAGAGATGAGAGGGCTTTAGCCCCATCTTTCTGTATTATGAGTGATGAAAGAGCATCTAGCACGCCTCGAATCTCTTTGTGAACCAAGTGACAAAGTCTATAAGCATTTCTTCCTTCCCCTGCTTGAGTCTGAGAAGCATTGTTACTGGTGGTGGCCATGGGCATACATACTCGCGGAAGTGAAGTTCGAACTCCCTTATGAGTTGGGCAAAAGAATTGATAGAAAGTTACTTTAGGTGGGCATACCGTTCTTGTATTGGGTCTCTTAACATGGTCAGGAAGGTATGTCACATTAGGGTATCTAAAGTATCATATAATGATATTTGAGCATAAAAAATTATAATGTGCTCCA